TGGTTAGTGTTTGCTAGATGTTGGAAGCAGTGACATCTTACGTGTAAGCACTCATGCAGTGTCCCAGCCTCCATGGATGAAGCCTTCTGGGAGAAAATTTGCAATTGCATTTTGTAGATTGTACTACCCAGTATGTTAGCTAACATACAACTTACCACGTCTGAACTCCTGAAGAAGCATTTCCATTAGAAACTCTGTACCTTTATCTACTTGGTCTATGCTTGTTTGTCCATTTATACCTAGAAGAGTACCACTGAGACACAGTGGCATTGATTTCTATCTTTGACAGTGCCTCAGACCATATAAAGCAATACTGAAAATCAAACAGCCAAGATTTAAAATGTATTTTAGGTCTAGCTTCTCTCAGGGCTCCAAAAGAGGAAGAAAAAATATTCAGACAAATGCATCTAAGTCAGCTTTGTTAGTCTTTGGGGTACTTTTGTTGGATTAAAGACCTGAGACTGTTGACTGTCTATAGATAAAAGGGTAATCCAGAAAACACCCAAAAGTACTTGTAATACTTTGGAGGATAGTCTTCTCTTTGAAAAACATATTCAGATATGTTTGCTCTACCCTTCTTAAAAACTAACAAACCAAAACAAAAATCAACAGCATAAACCAGCACGTTTGCCCAGCCAAGAGAGCTCGTAAAGGTGAACAGCACATCTCATGGGATATAAAATGTGAATTATATTGGAAAATAAACTCTAGATTATATTTGGCATTCCTAGACCATCTACCAGCAACAGATGTTATGTCTTGAAACTGATATAATTTTGACAGCAGTGCAGCAACTCCTTAGATAAATTACTGAGTTATTGTCAAAGTAGTACAGATAATTTTTTTAGGAAAAGTGATTTCACTCTTCAACCAGTTAATTACAAATTTACATTCATTTTCTTCCAATTGTGAGATCAATGCTAAAGCTGATTTGTAGTTGCAGTTCAGTCTTTTCTGTAGAGTTCCTATGCTGTTGCTGTCACTATAGTCACTGTTCTTACAGTTAAACTTTGTTTTTAGGAGATCAGCTCTGTGGAGAAGGACCTGGGAGTCCTGGTGGACAGTAAGCGAACCATGAGCCAGTAATGGGCCCTTGTGGCCAAGAAGGCCAGTGATATCCTGGGGTGCATTAAGAAGAGTGGCCAGCAGGTCAAGGGAGGTTCTCCTCCCCCTCTGCTCTGCCCTGGTGAGGCCACATATGGAGTATACTGTGTCCAATTCTGGGCCCCCCAGTTCAAGAGGGACAGGGAACTACTGGAGAGAGTCCAGCGGAGGGCTATGAAGATGATGAGGGGACTGGAGCATCTCTCATGAGGAAAGGCTGAGACACCTGGTGCTCTTTAGCCTGGAGAAGAGAAAATTGAGAGCGGACCTTATAAATGCTTACAAATAGCATTGATGAGTGGGTGTCCAGAGGATGGGGCCAGGCTCTTCTCAGTGATGCCCAGTGACAGGACAAGGGGCAACAGGCACGAACTGGAGCACAGGAAGTTCCACCTCAATATGAAGAAAAACTACTTTACAGTAAGGGTGACAGAGCACTGGAACAGGCTGCCCAGAGAGACTGTGGAGTCTCCTTCTCTGGAGACATTCAAAACCTGTCTGGACGTGTTCCTGTACAACCTGCTTTAGCAGGCGGGTTGGACTAGATGATCTCCAGAGGTCCCTTCCAACCTCAACCATTCTGTGATTCTGAGATGTTGAATGAAATCCCATCTTCGTTACAGTCGGAGATGGGATTTGTGGCTGACTTCAGTAGGATGGGAATTTTATCCCTGGATTCACTCCCATGCTGCCCCCTGCCCACAGGAAGGCAAGAGGGACAGGGAGAAGAAACCTTGCAAGATGGCAAGACATCTTCTTTGAGCATCCTGTGGACTCTGTGAACCTAATCCCTTCAACCTCAGCTCTATGCAACAGGTTTTGGAGGTGTCATTGTGAGGGCAAAGAAGATGTGATAACTGGATATACCTATTGACCTTATTCCTGGGGAAGGGTCTCACAAGCTGCCTTTTTTCCCTACCTATGATTCTGCATTAGAGGGGAACCCAGTGCGTTTCTGATGCAAAAGAATTAGACCGTCGGGAAGCAGCATATGCCAGAGAGATGAACACACTGAGAGAGACTTCATGTGACTAGAAAAATCAAGCTGTGGATTTGATAGATAGTTCTACATCATCTACAATATGAAACTCATCACAGAGAATTTGTATGAGGAATTGGACTTATGTTTTTATATAGGGACAGTCTACTGCAATATTTTTTCAGATACGAATCACATTTTATTCACAGTGAAAAGCACTTGTCTTTGATTTAATATTTTTGTAAACGATGTTGTCAAAATCCAGTTTCATTCTCCAGAAAGAGCCTGGAGAATTTTCTCTGAAACATTATCAGGGGCATTTCTGCGTGCCAAATATTGGTGTTTTAAGAACAGGGACTAGGAAGGGGCTAAAGAGTACCGTTTATTTCTCTGGATTTGCTTCACAAAGGAAGGACAGGTCGATGTATGAGCAGGTTTTACGTGACTTGTAAAGCTTGCCTAAATCAGCCTACCTGTTTCAAACTTACTTCTGGAGCCATGTAAAAGCTGCCTACTTACTTGACAGTTTCCTGATGGGGGTATCAGCATTAAAGCTACTGGCTTGAATTCTGAACCTGACCATATTCTTTGCAACTCCAGATAAGTTAATGAAGCTGCAGAAGGAAACAGGTAAAAGAAATAGAATTTCTCCACAGGCTTTAGTGCATGTCATCATAGGGCCTTCAGACAACTCTAAAAGAAATCAAGGAACTGAAGGAGAGGGATTAAAATTTCCTTCCAAATCTCCCCTGAAATTTTTGTTTCTGTGGAATCGTATGTGTACTTAAGGAGTTACATTGTTTTGGGGCTGGTATCATGTAATTTCCTGAAAAGTAGGGGGTTTATGTCAAAGTGTGTCATAAGTAGACACAACCTTGCAACATGCACTTTTCAGGTGAATCTGATAGCCTGAAGCAAAATCTAATGTTTGGATACATTGAGCCAAATTCAGTGTCTGTTTCTAAGTCATGTAAGTACTGCAGAGCTTGGCCTATTACATTTGTTCATGGAACTCCTTGTAGTAGCTCTGAACCCAGAAACTGTAAATAAAAGATTGTTTTCATTCACATACAGATCATAGAAGTTGCAAATTGCCTCAGGTCATTTTTTATCAGCAGGTTCAACAGTGAATAAAGGGAAATTAGGTTGATATTGCAGGTAGCTGGGGTGATAGAAATGGCCAATTTGACATGATTTTGAATTCAGCTACAGGGAAATCCATAAAGATGGCCCTTATCTGGGGGATGCCAGTACTGGCTTACAGTAGAAACTGAGAAAAGCCTGAAAGGTTGTCACTGCTGTGTGTGATGGGGTATGTAAGACGACGCAAGGGGATAAAAAAAAAAAAAAAAAGGCGTGTGACTTGCACTTCACAGAGATGGGAGGTAGGTCACTCGGTGTACTGCACTCCGCTTCTTACCATACAATACCAACACACTGGTCAAAAGTAGAGGATGATAGTGCCAAAAAAGTCTGGTTTTCATTCTGTGTTCCAGCTCTGCTCAGATCAATATATGGGATTGGGTACCTAGTTCTTTTTTATAACTTGGACGCAACTCTACACAGAAACTGTGTTGACTTCTTATTTACAGGGAAATCCCAGCTCCTGCCACGCAGAAGACCAGCATCACACTGGTACTCTTTGCAGCAATGCAAAGGATTCATTTTTTCTCATACCTCTACAGTTCCTCTGTTGCATCAGACACAATGTATTAGAAAAACTGGACAGTACTTTGAATGAGAATCCTAATTACTAACTGAAAAAAGGCAGGTATGAATTAAAAAAAAAAAAAAAAAGTCACATGTGAAGTTCTGCACTGATGTTTTCCCAAGGAAACTCCACAGTTTTACTAGGACATGGGGAAACAGACAGTACAACCCTCATTTTCCTGGCCAAAGAGCTTCTATAACAACAGCCATGACCAAACACAAGAAAATCAGAACAAGTAGAAGGATACTGCAATGCCACTCATCTTATGCCAGTCCATTGATTATAGCTTGACCTAGAGAGTCTATAGCCTGATCTAGCCTGAAATTCGGTCAACTTGGTATGCGTTTGCAGCTAGGAGCAGGTCTTCAGTGGCAAGCACAGCAGCAAACAAGCATTGATTTAAAGATTTGATATCTTGGGTTTCTAACTTTAAGTAATAGATTTTCCCAAATCATCATTTTCCTTCATCATACCTTAATAGACAGTTAAATGGCTCCTCCTAGGATATAGGACAAAGTTCTTTTTAGACTGAAGGACAGAATACATCATTACTGCTACAGTCCTATAACACAGTTCTTCTTTGGAACTGATAAGTGTTTAGTGAAAGAAACAAAGAAAGACTTGTTAATAATTTTCTCTTTGAGATTATAGTAGCAACTAAGAAATACTGCTTCTGGTGAATATAAGCCAGTCTTTTAAAAAGGACAGTGGTCTTCTCCACTTCGTCCCGTTCCCAGCAAATGTGTGCTGAGATAGCCTAAAGCATGCTTAAAGTTATAGCAATACATTTTTCTGTTAAGATGCTCACCAGTCACAAGAAGAGATGAAGATGAGTAAGAGTATTGCCTTTTTCAGAATTCTTCTAGCATATGAAAAAAGACCTATACACAATTTTACACTGCTGCATAAACATAATCTCTTTCTGATAGGTATAATGCACCTTTGGAACGAGCTGCATGTGACCAAAAATCCTGGGAACTTTGAGATCCATTTCAGCTGTGTTACACATAGGTCTGTGAGCAGCTCCAAGCTGCATGCTCTCTTCTTGTGATCCCTCAACAGAGGAATCTATGTCCATAATGCATTTTCTTAGCTGGTTTGTTACGAGTTCAGCACTCCTGCCACAGGCCTTTCAGGAAGGTCCCTTGTTTTTTTCATACCAAACTTGCACATTTAAAATCTCATGTTTCTCTTGTCTTCCATCACTCATACAAATGGCGTCATCACTGCGGAGGAATGACGCAGTCCCTGGATAGCTGCATAAGGACCCTGCTGAAAATAATGGTGGTACCTAGGCATGTGGAAGGAAGGGAAAGTGGGACCACTACCTTGCATGGAGCTGGCTATAGCAGAGGGTGTAAGAGGCATTCCCAGGCGACTGTACGGAGGCAGAGATCCTTGGATTGGATGAGGAATGGGTGTAGCTATGGATGCAGTGCTGGTACCCAGGGCACTCAAAGGCTGTGGGTGCTGAAATCCAGGAAAACTGGTTGAGGAGGATACCCAGGAACTGAGGGACAGGTTATCAGATGTTGTAAAGGCTGACCCTGCAAGCAAAGAGAAAGAACACCTGATGTTTGCACTGCAACACGCAAAGCTGGTAAAAGAGCAAAAAGGGAGCAAAAAAGTCTTTCACAGCAAGGCTGATTTTAATGACAAGTTGTCACTGGAAATATTTCCCAAATATTTCTCTCTCCTTATGTCTTTATATTATTATTTGCCAGTTGCTGTCCTTTATCACTACATCTTAGACAAATTTTTAAGAAGCTGGTTGCTGTGGCTTGAACAGTAAAATCAGCTTTGCACTTTGGACATTTTTGGTATTAAACACTGAAGAACCTTGTAATGCTGCCACTAAACACTGAAGCATCTACTCTGATGTGGAATCTCACTGCATTACATCCCTGTTTTGAAGACATGCTTGTAGCTTTTTACATCAGATCCTTAGTAGAACTGGTTATTTTTTTTTTTTTCCTATAATTTCAGTCTGGCAAAAGTGCAGAAAAATATAATTTGCATTACAAATCTATTTTTTTTTTACCCCAGTAAAACTTGTCAGCACTGCATCTTTTCACTCAACTTGACTTTTTCCAAAATACAGAACAGAAAATTCTAAGATGTCAAAACATTTTTTTTTCCAGCTGTGTACAGTGCTCTAAGAAACAACACTAATGGTAAATCATAGTAAGAGGTGTGGGGTGTTAAGTGTAATGCACAAAAATGTTAAAAACTTGCTCTCAGGGTAATTATCTACTTTTGATCAAATGGAAGGGGTTTCTTTGGTATTTTTTTAATCTTAAAAGTTCCGAAAATTATTTTCACAAGTTTTCCAACTCTTTAAAGCACTTTTTCTCTGAAGACTGCAAAATCAGAAATAAACAGGAAAATGGTATCTTTAGATTAGAACTAATTGCTTATTTTATTTTGACAGGAAAATTTTTAGGAAGTCGATGAATAATTTGTTTTGATAATTATACATGGTCATTTTCAAATAATCTGGTGATGATGTTGCCCTTCACCCTTGCAGTTCCTCTATGCATCTGGTCATCATCAAATGTCTGATTTCTAGAAATGGGGAATACAATAAAATCCTATAAACAAAGTCTTATTCTTTTATTCCTATTCAAACAGTAGCTCATGTCCCTTCTGCATTTTCTTTCTCGTCCAACTTTGTCAATTGAGAAAATGGTTCTTACTTTAAGAAATAATTTTACTGTTAAGAATATTTGGCAAAATATAATTTCAAGCCAGTATTGCAAAACATTCTGAGAAAACAAATGTTACAACAGGTAGTAGTTTCATAAGTCTGATTCTAGAAGATAGGTTTGTCCAACTGTGAAAACAAAAAACATGAAGACGTCTATCTGCCAAGGTAAACTTGTTGGAATTATGTATACTAACCAATCGTAGACATGTACTTAAAACAATACTATAAGCAAACAACAACAGAAAGAAAAAATGCAAATTATTATTTTAAAATATCATAGATCTCTTTAGGGATATATTCTCAAATCAGAAAGGGAGCTACTCTTGATTAATTCCTCCTCTGTTTAATGAAACAAATAAAACGGCCCAGTAACAGGAAAGAGAAATTGTGTCAGTTCAGCAGTAGAAATGGACTTGAACCAAATCCTGACCCCACCATTGAACCAAATCCTAACTGCTGGGAAGTTAGGAAGCCAGAGCCAAACTACACCATACTCACAGACGAGAGCAAACCCGTTTACAAATCAGAGGATACCTGAGTGTTATTGCACTACAGGGAAAGTGGGATGCAAATCTGGATTGCATCCAGAGAAGGTTTACATTTGGCTCTATTCCAGGTGACTACCATGAGTCCTGTGTGTGGATGCTGGAGCACAGGCATTCAGACATTATGCATTAAAGAGTTTTAATTTGGTTTATATATTTCATATCCGTTAATTCATTTGGAAACAGACTTATTGTGATAAATATACTACTGAAGGCTAGCCACTTCCATCTTTAGATGGCTGAAATTGGCTGAGATGAGAATGCTCTGGATGTAATTAGAAATAAATAGCAGTGAGAGACCTACTTTATTCTACACAGAACCAAGTATGCGATTCCTTCCCATGAGGAACCTCCATAAGGGCCCTTTCCTCCTCCAGCTGCAATTGTCTCTAATTGCAACTTAATACTCCAAAAGGTCTCACGCATCACATTTGCCAGCACCAAGGAAATGTGCTGTAGTAATCCTGAGGCAGTTGAGGCATTGGAGAGCTTATAACACACACCATCTAGCAGCATGCTTGTATTTGGCTCTCAACTCTCATACATATGGAAGGAGACACGTCCATTTTGCATGCAAGGTAGTTTTCAAATGCATCAGAAGAAATAAAAGTGTCCATGGAGTTTCAATAAGATCATTATTTCTTTCCCCATACCTTGGAGGACTTCTTCTTATTTAAGGATGCCAGACCTAAACAGAGAGTGAAGGCAGTACAAGGTACTCATCCGTAAGAGAAGTATGTTTTACCCTCTGTTTAACCTCTAACCTCTGTTTGCCTGGAACAATTACAATTTATGCTAGCATGTGGGTCCCAGATTAGAAAAAAGTTGGTGGCCACAACTCATCATCTTCCTCATTTACTCATTTGCCATATTGCAAGCAAATGCAGAACTGCACCTTGTATATATTATATATAAAATTAATTTTAATAAACTGTTCCTTCATCCTCTGACACCTTCCTCAGGCTTCTCTTCAGAAGAGAAAGGCTCTAAAGGCCAATTCTCATACTGAGGTTCACCTTGTTCACTTTATCACTCCCAAAGGAGGACGTCATACCAGGGCGAGAAGGTGCCTTGCTCTGAGCACTTCTGTGAAGGGAAAATATAACACTGTCTTCCACAATAACTGGCCTAGGATCTAAACTCATGTGAAGCAAGGTAATCCCCTGAAAGTATGTGAAATGGTGGCATCATACCAGCTGAGGAGCTGCTCTAGAAGCTCCACAATCTAAGGAGCTGCTCTTAGAATAGACATGCATGAACAAGCCCACCTAATCACATTTTGTTGAAGAGCAACTCGTGGTTAAAAATAAGTGTGTTTTCCCTGCCCAAGTCCAAAGAGCTTATGACCAGAAATAATGCTCTTGTCTTAGCAACACTGTATGAAGTTAGAGGACAAGACAAGGGCACTGCCAGTCGGAAGGCAGATAGAACTGCTTTACCTCAAGTGGCTGTTGCATATCAGACAGGTCATGAAGTCAACATGCAAAGTATAATGCAACAGAAGTTTGTGCTAGTCAGCGATCTCACAGGATGAGTTTGAGATCTATTTCCAGTGGCCAATTACAACAGATGCACTTTGTCCAGCGAGCATCCCCACAAAGAACAACTCTGTCTTGCTACTACTTTTGCAACTGCTAAAGTAAACAAACCATTTGATAAAGCATTTGAAGTGAGATGTCCCAACAGGAAAAGCACCTTTTAGAGACCAAGAGATAACAATTAAACTTCAATTTTCCAGGGAGCTATGGCCTTTTCTTCCTGTAGAGGCAAAGTGGATTAAGGACAGGCTGGTTGAAGACGGTCAAAACCAAGTCTTCTCTTCACAGAAGGCTGAAGGGGCAGCAAATGGCACATCTACGTGTTACTGTACAAATGGTGCTGAGCTCCAGCTACTAAGTCCTGAGAAGGAATGGGGAGTGTTAGCTTGTTCTCAGCACCACTGTAAATGAAGTCACCTGGGTTTCAGCCATCTTGAAGAGGAAGCGGAGATAGTTCTCTTGGGATGGCAAGGGCTGTATAGGCATCTTTAGAGCTGCTTCCTGAACTAGCCACCCACACCAGTTCCATGGGCATATAAGATGTCCAGAAGAGCCATAAGTTAAGAAATATTATTCTTCATAATAGGACTTTGTGACAGAGAGGCACACCAAAGAAATGCTTCAGAGTACCACAGTACAGGCTGTGGTCCTTTTTCCCTAAGCATAACTAGGTCACCACAGTTTACTACTCAAGCACATTTTCCTACCTCTGCTTTGTGTTGCCTGGCTGTCATCTCCGAGATCATCTTCTCCTCCATAGGTTCGAATGGGGGATCGGGCATAGGAGTGCTTTTGGATAAGGCTCTCCACGCTTTCTCTGTGAAAGGAAACAACATACCATACCAATAACATCCTAAGCAGCCTCTAATTCATTAGGTTAAATACAATGAACATGCTGCCTTTTCCCTGGCCAGATAACAGCTCTCTCACACAAACTGTCCAAAATTACTTAACAAAAGGGTTACCTCACAGCATGTCACTGGAAATGCTGAACTTGGCCTGCAATGTTTTAACATTGCTGATTACCTCTTACTGGCATGGTACTGCTTCTTCAGCAAAGTAGAGTAAACTTCTCACTGCATTTCCAGGATGTGGTCTCAGAAAATGAATATAAGACCAGCACTCTTCACAAATTTGAAAATGCAAGGTCTGGGGTTATTTGTGCGGAGTGATCGGTCTGAGTTCAAAGAGACACATGTGGTCCATCTCCTTTCAAACAAGATTTCACATCACACATGACCACCTCATCTGGCACTCTCCCATTTTACTAAAATCAGGGGCAAGAGATAGATGTGTCCAGAGACAGCTCAGCTCTAACCATGCTCTCTCAGCATTAGGGGCCAAAGCCAGTTCATAGCAGGAAGTCTATAGATACTACTGATCTCGTGCCACATCTATTCTGGGAGGTTAGACGTGTCTGCCAGGCCCCCGCCTCCCTGGTGGCACAAAGCACTGAAGTCCCCCAAACAATTTTTAAATAGAAGGAAGGCTTATCTGCACGATAAGCCATAGCAGTTTGTAAAGAAGATCCAACCTTACATGTTCCCAGCGCGTTCCCATGTAAGTAGGTGGCATTATACCAAAGATGAATAGGGCCTAGGCACGTTTCCAAAATGGCTTTGCCCTTCTGTTCCCACTTAAGAAATTTAGGTAGTGATAGCTGTTTAAACCTGCTGCTTGGTGGAGGTTTTGTCTGAATTTACCATTTGGCAATTCATACGTGCTAATGCCCTTCGCTTGGAGTGTGGCTGTTGCAGAAATGTCAAAGAAAATTTTCCAAGTAACATGATAAATCACAATGGCACATGTTTTCCTTTCCTACAGAAAGCCCATTATGGTCATTTTGTCCTTGGTCTATCACTGGCATCATTACTTATGCTAGTCTCCTTGGAAAAAAATAAATAAAAAGGGGATCTTATCACAGTGATTTACTTGTGTCAGGATTGGAAGTGGACTGAAAGCAATGGCAGTTCCTACATAGAGGATGGTATAATTGAATTACTGCCTTTTAAGTGATTGAAAACAGTAGGCATATCAGGGCTATCTTGAAGAAGATTTTACAAAGAAAAGACAGATGGCATTGTTTACATTATGTGCTGAATGCCTCTTGAAACTTTTTTTTCTGAAGCAGAATGTGAAATGCAAAGAATTTTACTTAACCAAAGAGACTCAAATGAGTACAGAATAACAGAATAATTAGACCAGTGTTGTCTGAGTGATTTAGATACCAGTCTATAAACATATTCATAACCAAAGAATTACTAATCTTTAAAGGTCTGAAAAATAAATGTGATTCAGACGGTTGTCTGTATTGTCTCTATTGACTTTATTTCTAGTGAAGGTCTGCTTATAATGACAGACATTACAGCTTATAATAATATCTTGATGCAACAGAAACAATGCAGGTTCTACTTTTAGTGCAGTGGGCCAAATTAATCTCTAAAACTTTGGATCCAGTGGTGGTTCAGGGATAAACTCACCCCAATAAATTTATATTTTAAATACCTACAGGGATTTAAAGCTAAATCAAATGCCCACAATTATTGCACACTAAATTCTTTCCAGATGGGTTTGTATGCTAGACAGAGAACTCTATTATTCTGTATGGTTGTCTTCTTTTAAAGGAAAGAGAGAGATGACTTCTTAGTGAACCCTGAATCTGCAAAGTTTGAAACCAGGGAACTATGTGGTAGGTTTATTTATTTATTTTTAATATTGTAATGTTGCAGGTAGTATGCTAAAGGTCTTAGCAGATTAATCACATTCATTGACACAAGCAGCAAAGCTTTTTATGGCAAAGGGAACGGGCTAATGAGGTAACTTGGATCAGAGAAAGCAACTAATTTCATAAGAGCAGTTCCTTTTGTACTGCTGGGATTTAATATTCAAAACTGTATATACTTATCTTGCCATGTTGGTAGTTTATGCTATAATCACAACATGCCTACTAATTTTTCATTTAGAGGTTGAGGCTGTGATTCACATCATGAGTGCAAAGCATCAAGATCCACACCAGAATTTAGCCAGCTGGCCCCCACAGCCCTCAGGTGGACACTCTTCTTTCCCCATACAACACATGCTGCCTATAAACCTCCAAACAGACCTATGAAATGCAAAAGCCTGAGCAGGAAATGACCGAAGTGTGCAAAAGGAAACAAAGAAAAACAAGAAGTGGTGTATTTTCTTCACTGATGAAGTATATCTCTGGGTTATCCCATCAAGCACTGTTCCTTCCACCTAGAAAAACAAGAGCACTCAGATCTCCCTCACCCTGGACAAGTGACCCAAGTCAAGGGATAATCTTTCCTTCCCTTTGTGTTTCAAAGGAAAGGCGTGATGGCTTCTGCACCGTGCTCAAATATTTCATGCTCAGAGAACACCACCCAGAGACCAAGTCTTCTTGGAGAAGAAAGGGATTGCAACTCATCTAACCTATGGAAACATGTGGAGTTTCTGCACAGGTTGGAAAGAGGAGGGCAACCTCCTCCACCCTTTAAAGACAGAAGTGCTTTAGGACTTTCTCCAAAGCAGATGTGTAGGAGGAAGCAAAACTTTAAGAACAAGATTTAAGTGCCTGTGAAATCTAGTTCAAAATACATGAACAAAACGGGGAACCTGGAATACAGATTCCTGCTTATACCCTTTTTTCAACTGGGGCTGAAAGGACTTAAATCTCAAGATCTTCCTGAAAATTTTGCTTGTGGAAGTGTGAAATTGGGATATCCAGAATATGGTGCTCTGGGCCAATAAAATAAATTTTTTAAAGTTCCAAAATATTGTAATACCACCACTATTAAGAGGGAAAGACATTAATTTAAACCTCTGGCTTTATAGTTCTGTATGCAACATCTTCAGATATCTCAATGTGGTTCAAAGGTTTTCATTTTATAAAGTACTGATTCATAAATCAATACTTGCCATTTTACGATTCTGCTCAATAGAAAAATAGCAAGTGAAAAGTATGGCGGAAGTTTTTTTCAAGTTTTCCTTTAGTATTTTTCAGAGCTCATCCACACTAAACTGGCTGAAGAATGAAATGACTTCCAGTTACTCCATGCTCGACTTCCAGTTACTCAGTTTGTGATCAGACACTTGTTATCTGATTCTTGGACCTAACAATTTTTACCTTTTAATGTATCTTAGAACTCCTCAGTTTCTTCTATTAGCAATAATCTTTGTTTTAAGAGATCACAAGCTGCCAGCCTGATAAAGGAAAGATGTCTTCTTTCTGTCAAATTCTTGTGTGGTGTGCCAACTATTTTGTCTTCCAGATTGCTCTTCAACTCACATATGTCTTGTAAATACCCAGAGGAGGTGAAAAACACACGCATAGGCATAACATATTACTGTGATTAAGCTGTGCTATGTGTCCAACTGGATAATAGTAGCAGATGACAGGCTGGAGATGAGCAAGTTAGGGGATAAAGCTGTTTGGGGAAAAAGAAGGAACTGTGTGCCAAATGGAGAGGAAAAAACTAAGCTTGTATTGGCTAGCACACCCACAGAGAAGATGCTGAGGCAGGACAAATGTAAGGAGAGGTCCCAACAATTTGCAGTCTGACAGAAGCATACCTTGAGCCCAGCCCTGTCAACAAACCTCTGCTTATTATGAGCAAAGCACTTCTTTCCTTTGTGCAAAAAATGAAACAGTGAATTTTGAACCAGGAATTGAAGGAAGTGAAGGGTTGGGAGAATTTATCCGTTACCAAGGTTTTAGGGTACACAGGGAACATCTTACCATTCTGCATGTTTTAACCTCTTGACTGAACATTTCACTCTTATCCCCACTAGGAACTGATTCCAGAACTGAACTTCCGGCTAGGGATGCTTTATGTCTTGCAGCTACAAACTGAGCCTTTGGCCTTGTTTAGTTAACAGCACCCTGTACATGCAGAGTAGTCTCAGAGGATGAGAAGTAGATAGGAAAATCCTGATATAGCTGACAAATTGTTCACTAACACTTTACAGACTAAACCCAAAATTTTGCCATGGATATGAACTGGGAGATGGCAGACAACAGAGCTAACTTGGGAAGCAGCTGAGAAGCGAGGCCCTACGTGAGGCTGCTCACTTACTTCTGCTGTCAACCCAAATTACAGAAATTGTCTCAGGAGATGGTAAAGTCCCAGATTACCCTGAGCAGGATCTTTACTCAAGATGAAAGAACCGCTTCTTTGTAGGCGAAAACAGGCATCTATTTGATGCTCCTTTAGGTCATTTTTTTCTGCTCTTTTCTGTGCTTCATCTGTGCATTCACAGCAGCCTGGTGATAACCATGACCCTGATTCTGAAGTATACGACCAGAGCCCTGCTGATACAGAAGAGGGCTCACCTGGCCACAATGCACTGTCAACACTGATGCTGCTACATGCCTGTATGCACCTGAAGCTATGGATTTTCGCGAATTTGGAAGAGCCGGCACCCAGGGGATGCAGACAGGAAGCCTACCTTCTCCCTTTGGGATGAGGAGGCTTGAGGCAATATATTTGGTTTTGGCAGAAGGCGTTAGAAAACCTGGATCCAGGACTGAGTATCCATCTTAGATCTATACCACGGCTCCAAAGAGGATGGTGTTGATGTAATAGGCAGCAACCCATTCCACTGGAAGCCAGGTTCAACCTCCTTTGGAGACAATATGCAAAAGCCAGACTGCAGTGAGAAAGAGCAGGTGGCAGAGCCCACTCTGAACTTGTATCTTCTGCAGAAGTTACTGTCTCAGGAACAGCTACAAGAAGTACAAATTTCAGAGCAGAGTTGAGCAAGCTGTTAGCATTTTCTCTTTTTGCCCTTACTATCCAAGTGCTAGGTAAGCAAAAA